CCTGGGATTCTCAAGGCAAGAACATTCGAGTAGGTTGCCATTTCCTTCTCCAATGCATGAAAGTGAAAAGTGAAAGGGAAGTCACTCAGTTGTGTCAGACTCTTCGCGACCCCATGGACTGCAGCCTACCAGGCTCCTCCGTCCATGGGATTTTCTAGGCGAGAGTGCTGGAGTGGGTTGCCATTGCCTTCTCCGATACATACTAGTATCAGAGAGAAACTAAAAACACCTGGCTTGGTGGATACATCCCTTTGCTGTGCAAACTATTTTAAGTTTAATCATTTGCTTATTTTTTGCTATTGTTTTCATTACTCTAGTTGCTGGATCTCAAAAAAAATATTGCTGAAATTTATGTGAAACAGTGTTCGATGCTTTTCTGTAGGAGGTTTATAGTATCCTGCCTTACATTTAAGAGCTTAATCCATTTTGAGTTAACTTTTGTGTATGGTGTTAGAGAATGTTCTAAGTTTATTCTCTTACTAGTAGCCGTCCAGCTTTCCCAGCACCACTTATTAAAGAGACTGCATTTTCTCTGTCATATATCCTTGCCTCCCTTGTCATAGATTCGTTGACCAAAACTGTTGGAAAATGGGCTCTCTATTCTGTCCCACTGAGAGACTGTCTGTTTCTGTGCCAGTTATCATACTCTTTTGATGACTGTAGCTTTGGAGTATAGTCTGAAGTTAGGGAGCTCAATTCCCCCAGCTCTGTTTTTCTTTCTTAAGATTATTTTGGCACATTGAAGTCTTTTGTATCTCTTGACATGAATTTTAAAATCATTTGCTCCAGTTTTGTAAAAAATGTCATTGGCATTTTGACAGGGATTGCTTTAAATCTGTAGATTGCCTGGCATAGTACAGTCATTTTGACAATATTGATTCTCCCAACTCAAGAACATGATATATTTTTCTAGTTCAGTTTCTTTCATCAGTGTTTTCATCAGTTTTCTGAATGTGGGCCTTTTACCTCCTCAGGCATATTTATTCCTAGGTATCTTATTCTTTTTGATGTAATCATAAATAGGATTATTTCTTTAATTTCTCTTTCTGATATTTAACTGTTAGTGTAGAGAAATGTAGCAGATTTATGTATATTAACTTTGTATAACTTTATCAAATTCATTGATGAACTCTAGTAGTTTTCTAGTGGCCTTTTTAGAATTTTCTATGTATAGTATCATATTATCTGCAGACAGTAGAAATTTTACTTCTTTTTCAATTTGGATTCCTTTTATTTCTTTTTCTTATATGACTGTTGTGGCCAGAACTTCCAAAAATGTAAAAAGTGGTGAGAGTGGACATCTTTGTCTTATCTTGACCTTAAAGGAAATATTTCCATATTTTCACCATTGAGGATGATGTATGATGTTAGATCTCGGGTTTTCATATGTGGCACTTATCATGTTGAGGCATGTCCCCTCCTTGCTAATATACTGAACAGGGAGAGATATTTTCAGGTGATATGACCAATAAGGGGTTAATATCAAACATATATAAATATCTCATAAAGCTCAACATCAAAAATATTAGCAACTTGATAAAAATGGATGATCAACAAGCACATGAAAAGATGCTCGGTATTGCTAATCACCAGGGAAATGCAAATCAAAACCACAAGGAGATACGACCTCACAGAGGTCAGAATAGCTATCATTAAAAAGAAAACAAAATATAAAAGTTGGTGAGGATGCAGGGAAAGGGGATCTCTCTTACACTGTTAATGGGAAAATATTGATAAGCTGGTGCAGCCACTCTGCAGGTAAACTGGTACAGTAGTAGCCAATTTTGAGGTTTTTCAAAAAACTAAATATAGAATTACCATATGACCTAGGAATTTCACTCCTGGGTATATATCAGAAAGAAACAAAAAGACTAATACAGAAAGATTCATGAAGCCCCAAGTTCCTAGGAGCATTATTTATTGTTTATAATTGCCAAGGATGGAAGCAACCTAAGTGTCCAACAACAGATGAATGAATAAAGAAGATGTGTTTTATGTAGACAATAGAAGACTACTCAGTCATAAAAACAATCAAATTTTCCCATTTGCAATAACATGAATGGACTTAGCAGGCATTATTCCTAGTGAAATAAGTCAAGCAGAATAGAAAAATACTGTATGATATCACATATTGAATCTTAAAAATACAACAAATGTGTGAATAAAACAGAAAAAAGGAGACTTTTCATAGATATAAAGAATAAACTAGTGAACTAGTGGTTTATCAATAGGAAGAGTGAAGGGGAGGGGGCAAAATAGGATTGAGGGTAAAAAAGGGTTTCCTGTGGTATTACATAAAATCATGTGTATGAAAATTTTGAAAAATTGTAAAGCAGTATAGAATTTAAAGAATCTTATATCCAATTTTTAAAAAAAAATTTAAAACCTGGCTCTGATATCATTTTACCCTAAAATTTATCACTAAAGTTTCATAAGAAAGTTCAGTTTAGTATAATTTGTGAACCAAAATTGTTTGCCTTTTTTTTTACTTTTATATTTATTTTGGTACCCTCAGCAATTATCACATTTCTTATCTCAAAACCAAACTTATATGTATATTTAAATCAGAGATTTCTATTTTTTTACCATAAGACAATATATCTATATTTTTCACTCATTTAGTTTTACAGACTTAGGGCCACAAAAAAGATAACTACTTTATAGCTGAAGAAAAAATGAAAGTGAGTGAAAGTTGCTCCATCACCTCCGACTCTTGTGACCCCATGGGCTATACAGTCCATGGAATTCTCCAGCTGAAGGAAATGAGCGTGGCAAGTCAATGATTTAGAAGGGAGAGATTGTGGTTGCAGTGCTTGGTGCAGTAATGCACAATTCTGGGAATTCACTGGCTACCCAGTGATTAATACTGTGTGCTACTACTGCTTCACAAGTTCAATCCCTAGTTGGGGAATTATGATCCTGCAAGTCAGGTGTCCCCCAAAATAAATAGCGTACAAAGGCTGAAGGAAAAATAGTGCTGGAAATTCAGGACAATCTGCTTTCTTTTCTGGCATTGATAGTAATAGATTCATTATGTCTCTATTTAGCATCAGACATTTGGCTACCTCTACCATAAAGTACATGAAAATAAAATATAAGAAAATTAAAGATAATTTATAAAATCCTTATTTTATATAACAAAGCAAATCCCTCATACATACATCACACTGAATGCTTACTACTCAGAAGAGGCTTTCTAAAATATTTAACAGTGGCTATGTATCATGCATCAGTCACCTCTAGTGGCTCAAGTGGTAAAGAATCAGCCTGCAATGCAGGAGTTCAGGGTTCAATCCATGTGTTGGGAAGACCTCTTGAGGAAAGGTTTAATGAATCTAGTGAATATCTTTCCCTGAAGGAGATATACCTTAATGAAAACACCCTCTGGACCATAATATGAAACTGAAATGTAAAACAAGTTCTTTTTGAATCTGCTTATGTGAAGATCATACTATGAAGAGAAGTTTAGCTGATGTAAAAAAGAAAATAAAATCACTAGTTCAACTAGTTTGTTTTTACTAAAAGTAATGGCTGTCCTCCATATTAAAAAAAAGTCATACATTATGCAATCTATGCACAATGTAAAGTCACAGTTATACATTAGATGGATGGAAAGCTGAATCACTCAAAACACCTCTATAATTTTAATAAGAAATTAAAACCATAATTGTTCTAAATTATGACACATAACCCAATGTTCATTGCAGTACTATTTACAATAGCCAGAACATGGGAGCAACCTAGATGTCCACAGATGAATGGAAAAGGAGTTGTGGTATGTATGTATATGTATATATGTGTATATATATATATATATATATATATATATATATACATATACACACACACACACACAATGGAATATTTATTAGTCATAAAAAGAAACAAATTTGAGTCAATTCTAGTGAGGTGGATGAAACCAGAGTCTTTTATACAGAGTGATGTAAGTCAGAAAAATAAAAACAAATATCATATATTAACACATATATATGGGATCTAGAAAAATGGTACTGATGAACCTATTTGCAGGGCAGAAATAGAGACTCTATAAACATAGAGAACAAACACCTGGACACAGAGCGGGAAGGAGAGGGTGGGGCAAACTGAGAGAGCAGCACTGAAGTACATACATTATATAAAAAATAGAGAGCTAATGAGAAGTTGCTGTTAACACAGGGAGCTGAAGCTAGTGCTCTGGGACAACCTAGAGAGGTGGGATGGAATGGGAAGTGCGAGGGAGATTCCAAGAGGGAGGGAACATATGCATACCATGGCTGATTCATGCTGACATATGGCAGAAACCAACATAACATTGTAGGGCAATTATCTGCCATTTAAAACTAAAGAAAAAGAAATTAAAGAATAGTTCACCAAATCAGGCTAACAGACGGTGACCTGTACACATTTTCAAAACTCTTCCAAAGTAACAAGGAAAATTAAGGTGCTTCTACTAAAAATCATTGGTTATTTGGACAATAACTAGAACATTTACATGCATTTTTTTCAGAATGAAAAGGATCTCAATTAATTCTCAATGAAGTAGAAAATACTGATTAACTGTGATTTAGTTAATAATAATGATAATGCAATGATAATGCACTGATAATGATAATGCAATGCATGTTTTAACATAAATTGCTGTTTCATTTTAACTACCAATATAAAATTTTTAGTTTATATTGTAATCCTACTTTTTAAGGAAAACTAATTATGTGGTTAAAAGTTGCCTATATTTTGGCAAGTTTATTTTATCTTTTTGATAATAATGAATTTAGAAGACTAGTTCCATAGAATTTTTCCTTTCTGACAAATATAGAAATCAACTCATAGCAAAAATTCACTCAAAGATAAGAAATACTTGCATTCTGAATATTTCTAAATGAAAATTATCCATCACTTATTCTTGTTTAAATAGAAAAAAATATTGTACGCTTGTAATTTAATTAAGATCATAATTTACCACTAAAATTTTTTTTATATACATAACCAAACCCCATTACCTTATAAATATCCAAAAATCCACACTGGTGGTCGAATCTTGTGTACAGTTCATTCAGCATGCTGATGACCTGCATGGGGGTACACTGGGCACATATGGCCGTGAAGCCAACGATGTCTGAAAACAGCATGGTGACATCATCAAACTTCCTGGCCTGCACTTGCTGCCCTTGCCACAGTTGCTGGGCTACATCACCAGGGAAAATGGAATACAGAAGATCCACTGTTTTCTTTTTCTCTTCTTCCAGGGCCTGGTGAGTTCTTTCCAAAGTTGCTTTTAATTTATCCATCCTCTTCTTCAGCCCATCCTGGGCCTTTGCCTGCTCGCCAACCAAGATGACATCTCGAGTAGCATCATGGATGGGGATGTCCGAGAGATGTAGCCCTCGTCCCATGAGTTCATCCAACTTGTCCACACATGGAGAACCCAAGAACAAAATGGAATTTGATTCCGAGACATGGATCATTTGTCCTTTAACTTCCATCACCTGCAAAATCAACATGGAATTTTAGTCAGCACTCTTCACATAGTAGGTTCACAAAAATTAATCTATTATCAGATGGAGAAGAAGAATAAGAAATTAGCCTTACAGACTTTCTCCATGAAGGCAAATCTAAATGTGATTTGGGGCCAATGTAAGTTATGATTCTAAATAGAAATATTTGTTATTGTTTCCCACTTGGCCACTTTCTTAAGACAATGATCAAATGGAAAGAGAGATCAATGAGAATTGAAACAGAAGACCATTTTCATTTAAAATGAAAGTGTACCCAGGTGCATCACAAAACTGGTTCACCAACCAGTTCAAAAACTTTCAACCTTCTTAGTAATATTAGAAAATGGATAATTACACCTGTCAAAATACTAGATTTAATTGTCATTAAAATAAAACTCAGAAAATAAGTCCAGGAGACTAGATGAATCCAAATAATTGTTTAGTCTTATATAAGTCATTTTTTCACCTGTTGTAGTCCTATTAAAGTATATTGGTTCTTGCACTGACTAGATTAGTTGACAATTCATTTGGTCTTAAAAATAAAAATTTAAGCTAGATTTCATTAATAATTATTAGCAGAAAATGACTACCAATTAACTAGCATATTCAATATAAGCTAAAAGTAGCCCCCTTCCCCAAGTCAGGATAGTATTAAAGAAACCCAGTTAGTAAGATAAAATATTTGAATATATAGTAATTTAAATCTATCCCTCCCTTCTGTGCTTTTTGGAGAATTTGGAGAATTGATGTTTAATGAAAATCTTCATGAACACTGGCTCATGCTATCTTAGCTTAACGCCCTAAGGAACACTAAGAGCAGATGAATACCAGCAGGAAAGGAAGGTGGCCTTAGGCTATATTTGTCCAAATATACTTACTTGGGTTAAGATAGGATATTTCAGCACCTCTCAAGAGGAAGCTAGTTGTAATTACCTGAAGAGAGTGCTAAGTGCTAAATTGCTTCAGTCCTTGTCTGACTCTTTGCAACCCCATGGACTGTAGCCTGCCAGGCTCCTCTGTCCTCTGTCCTGGAGTGGGTTGCCACTTCCTCCTCCAGGGGATCTTCCAGACCCAGGGATCAAACTGATGTCTCATGTCTCCTGCACTGGCAGGTAGGTTCTTTACCACAAGCGCCACCTGGGAAGCCCTGAAGAAGACTGCCTACAAATTGACCAACTGAGATTGTGTATCAGTTTTATTTATGTCACTTTCCACAATTACAGGAATGTGCTCAATAAATTTATTTATTTTTTAAATCTTCATAGCATGAAGTAGTTAGGTTAGTTGATGAAATCGGAGGCATAGAACAAACATGGGGTAAAACTACAGAGATTTTGACTTCTAAGCCTGAAAATATTTTACTTTTTTCCCCCTGCACCATTTACCAAGATATAGTCTATATAAGGAAAAAATGAATCCTTGCTTCATATCATAAATTTTACAAAACAAAACGTTCATTTTACATACAAAGTCTGCTAATGTTTAGTATTTCATCATTTTACACATAATTTATTCACTGAAGTGTTTATTGAGTGTTTTCTATTTATCAATACTGCCCTGGCTGATAACCATAAAAAGATAATACAAGATTCCCCTTTTAAAAGATATCACTCTATGGAAATGAGAGACACAACAATATAGCCCATAGAATAGAATGAAGAAACACTTCAATTCCCTATTTAAGATGGGCTACAAAAAGACTGCAGGCTATTGTTTGAATACAAAGAAAGCAATTGTCCTAAAAAGTATTTCCAGATTATTTCATATATGCTGGGTATGCTTTTTGGGGGGGTTGTTAATGACACATATTTGTTATACTAATAGAAGTCCAATAAAGAAGATACATGAAATGTACAACCTCATAGCTTGAAAATTAGTACAATCATTTTTTTTTTTCTTAAGATTTAAGGTAAAAGCAAACCTCTGATGCTCATATAGTTAGACCTCCATCTGGTCTCTTTCTCCTCACATTTCTTTCTAATTGTTTTCTTTTTCTTCTACATCTTGCTTTTTTCTGCCTTCTTCCCTTTGTTCTTTGGACTTACTCTTCTGTTTTCTTTTTCAGCATCCTATCTTCATTTACTCTTTATCTCTCTTGCTTGCGTGGCTTTCTTTCTCATCACTGGTTACTTCATTTTCTTGTTGGTTCTTCATTTTTGCTTCTCTTTTTTTCCCTATGTATTAACCTTCACATTTCCTATTATAAATTGACCCTTTTCTTTTCTGCCTTTGCTTCCACCTCTTTTTGTTTCAAATATCAATCAGTATATGTATATAGGCATAAATAATATTATATTATTTGCTACACGTAAAAAATATTTTTTTCTTTAACTTACAAAGAAGCTAAATGGAATATGTTATATTCCATCTCAAAAAACCCATAAATATATTCCTGACATTTATATGACATAGTTCATTTTTCTGAAATTTCTGACAGAATAAAATAATTTCTTTTTTAAATTAATTAATTTATTTTAATTGAAGTATAATTACTTTATAATATTATGATGGTTTTAAAAATATATTAGGACTTCACTGGTGGCTTGGATGGCAAAGCTGGTAAAACCCTATTCAATGCTGTGAATCCTGGCAGTTGAATAAGCAGAATTAAGGAGATTAGTGTAGAGAAGGAACTTTCTATGAAGAGCTGCAGAATCTAGTTTTTATACAGAGGACTGAAATTTTTACACAGAGGATTGTTCCCAAGAGATATATCTGTAACAATGGAAAATATGGTTAGTGGGACTAAAGAGTGACATTTTAAATTGTATTTGATTTTCATTAATTTAAATTAAAATACCTATAGCCACACCTGGCTAATGGACTAAACAGCATAGCTCTGAAGTAAAATTTGTGACTCCAATATTCGATTAATTATTTGGTAAAAGTATTATCTCTCATTTGTTTGTGGGCAAGAAACTATTTAATACTTGGATCACATGTTTTTTCTTTTAACAATGCCATAGAAAGTTTAAGAAAATATTAAGTGTAAGAACTTTACTCAGTTCTAAAGATGGAGTTGAGGTTAAGACAGTTATGGTCTCTGCCCTCTGCCCTCATGGAGCATATATTCTAACAAAGGGGAAGAGATATATATATATAATAACAAAGGCAAAGATATATATATATATAAAAGATATATAATATATATATTAAAAGGGGAAGATATATATATTATACATATATTAAAAAAAGAAATAAACAGGTTATGGAGGGCTGTGGGACCCTCTTGCTGTAGAACAATTAAATACTTATTTTAAAAAATACTTATGAGTCATCTCTTAAGAGGCAGAGGTTTCCATATACATGGACTAGCAAAAGGAACAAACAAATTAAAACAAGGCAAACAAACAAAAATTGAAACCTTGATCTGAACCCCCAACAGGAGCAGAGAGAAACCAGGTTGTCCTGAGAGTCATGTGGAAAGGATACTTTTATTGGAATTCTGAGACTTGGAACATTTGTAAGATTAGAGAGCCTAGTCAGAGATTTGTGACTTGAAGATCCATCCTCAGAGAGAATTAGAGAGGTCTTCAGTCAACTGGCACCTAAAATTTCCCCATCTTAGGCTCTCAAGATTCTTGATACGATTAAGCTCAAGTGATGAACAAAAGCAAATAATGAACACAAGATTTAGATGACAAAAAAACTGAGTGACGGGAATGTCAGCTTCAGAATATACAGCAGTTATTTATTTACAAGTAAAGACACAATTACAGAGAAAGATAAAGGACAGAAATGGCATGGACCTAACAGAAGCAGAAGATATTAAGAAGAGGTGGCAAGAATACACAGAAGAACTATCCAAAAAAATCTTAATGACCCAGATAACAACAATGGTGTGATCACTCACCTAGAGCCAGACATCCTGGAATGCAAAGTCAAGTGGGCCTGCGGAAGCATCACTACAAACAAAGGTGCAGTGGAGGTGACGGAGGTGATGGAATCCCAGGTGAGCTATTTCAAATCATAAAAGATGATGCTGTGAAAGTGCTGCGCTAAATATACCAGCAAATTTGGAAAACTCAGCAGTGGCCACAGGATTGGAAAAGGCCAGTTTTCATTCCAATCCCAAAGAATGCTCAAACTACTGCACAATTGCACTCATCTCACATGCTATCAAAGTAATGTTCAAAATTCTCCAAGCCAGGCTTCAACAGTACATGAACTGTGAACTTCCAGATGTTCAAGCTGGATTTAGAAGAGGCAGCGGAACCAGAGATCCAACTGCCAACATCCATTGGATCATTGAAAAAGCAAGAGAGTTCCAGAAAAACATCTATTTCTGCTTTATTGACTATGCTAAAGCCTTTGACTGTGTGAATCACAATAAACTGTGGAAAATTCTTCAAGAAATGGGAATACCAGACCACCTTACCTGCCTCCTGAGAAATCTGTATGCAGGGCAGGAGACAACAGTTAGAACTGGTCATGGAACAATGGACTGATTCCAAATTGGGAAAGGAGTACATCAAGGCTGTATACTGTCACCCTGCTTATTTAACTTATGCGGAGTACAACATGCAAAATGCTGGGCTGGTGAAGCACAAGCTGAAATCAAGATTGCTGGGAGAAATATCAATAACTTCAGATATGCTGATGACACCACCATTATGGCAGAAAGTGAAGAGGAACTAAAGAGCCTATTGATGAAAGTGAAAGAGGACAGTGAAAAAGTTGACTTAAAACTCAACATTCAAAAAACAAAGATCATGGCATCTGGTCCCATCACTTCATGGCAAATAGATGGGGAAACCATGGAAACAGTGACAGACTTTATTTTCCTGGACTCCAAAATCACTGCAGATTGTGACTGCAGCCAAGAAATTAAAAGACACTTGCTCCTTTTAAATTAAAAGCAAAGCTATGACAAACCTAGAAAACATCTTAAAAAGCAGAGACATTACTTTGTTGAGAAAGGTCCATCTAGTCAAAGCTATGGTTTTTCCAGTAGTCATGTATGGATGTGAGAGTTGGGCCATAAAGAAGGC